TAGATAAATTAGAGACAACAGCTCAGTTCAATAGGAAGGTATGCAACCATTACAGTCCTTTGCTTAAAAATATTGAAAAATATATATTCTAAATTTGCATATATAAACTGAACAATGCAACACATAGTTTTGAATATGCAATATGGCCCTAGAGATTAAAATTCTGCATAGATTTATTTTAAAAGACTGGAAAAAATACAGCACAGTGTCAGTAATGAACTCAGGACTGTAATAATGGGTGATTTTAAGGTCTACCATTATATTTTTGTTTATTTAACAAAATGTTTACAGATAAGATAGATACATTGATATTTAGAAAACCAAAATTCTCTTAAGAACAATGCCTCCCCCAAGTGGTCAGTGGCCTCTTGGGTTCCCTCTTTCTTTCTACCAACATGGTTGGTATTCCAAGAACACTGCAGTCTGCCCACTTTGTACTTAGCTGTGTATGTTTCTGGTCTCCTTTAGTTATGAGGCCTGGAGGGGGCACATTCCCAACCACTCCTCAAAGTGTAGAGCTATCACCTGATGACTTTTGACATACAAAAGGAATTAACTTATTTTCAGTCTTCTAGTACTGCCTGTGTTTGAGGGGACTTGGAAAAATGTTGTGCAGTTAAAATTTTCCCACCACAAAATAGATAAATGTCCACTATCAATGACCAAGTGATAGCTATGTAGCTTTTCATCCCAAATTCAGTCCTATGTTTCTATCTCATTATGTATTTTTTTTCTCTCAAAAACTAAATCAAGTGTGATAGAAGTTTGATGACCTGTGAAGTGTATGTTCCTCTCTGATGCTTATCTTTGGCCCTTTCCTGGTGTTTTCTTTATCCTCTTCTAATAAATATTCTGGTAAATGGACCTGTGAGTTAATTAACTAGATGTGTCCCACAAAAGAGGTGATGTAAGCTGAAGAAAAACGGCATCTGATTTTGAATATGCAGTATGTATGTTTCTGCATTTTAAAATACTTTATGTTTATATCAAGAGACTTGAAGGAAATATAGTATAATGTCAGTCAATAATTATAATATACAATACAGTATAATAATGTCAATAATTACCCCTGGATTGCTTGATAACAGGTATCTTAAATGTGTGCACTAAACTATTGATGTGGAAATCTAAAAATATTAAATTCAAATTCATTATCTTCTTAACTGCAGAAAGAGAGAACTTGCTTGCACTATGCTGTGAAGAAAAGGTTCACCTTCTTTGACTATCTTCTTATTATCCTCCTGATGCCTGTCCTGCTTATCGGGTATTTCCTCATGGTGAGTCGTCTTGTTGGGGCAAAGGGCACAAGAGCCGAGGAATGACTCACCAAATTTTTCTAGACAGTTTGGACAGGTGTTTCTTGACATACAATAGGGTCCTATCTCAATAAGCGTCTCATAAAGTATTTAATCAAGTAGAAAATGCATTTAATTTATGTAGCCTACTGAACATAGTTTAGCAACCTGGTGCATTACGGAGTACCTATGGGTGTGGAACCATCTGTTCACAAAGCCGACTGGGAACTGCTTGTCATGACCATTGCCCAGCATAATAGGGACATCAGCATCCCCAGCTCAGGAAAACAGGACCTTAGATTTTATATGTCTCTCCCTGAGTTTCAGATTTTTAAGGATTCACCTCTTGGTTGAGTTGGAGACAAGAGCAAAGCATTTTGCACATGGAATTTGCAGACACCAAAGTTATTTATGGAGATTCTTGCACCTTGAGGAACTGAGTCATGCTTGTATGGATCTTTGGCAGCATGATTTTCTTGAATAAAGAAATGAATAGGTAGGTAGTAAAGGACTGCAGTCATATTAAGTGGAAGGTGAAATTTGATTTTTTTGTTCCTTTTTTTTGAGACAGGGTCTCCCTGAAGCCCCAGAATTTGAAGGACACCATGCTAAAACCTTAATCCACTAATGAACATGTATTTTATTTATGTCCTTAAAGGCTTTTTGAAAAATCAGCTGTGTGGGGCTGGAGCAATGACTCAGCAGTTAAGAACACTTGCTGTTCTTGCAGAGGACCCAGGTTTGATGCCCAGCACCTACATGGCAGCTAGCAACCGTCCATAACTCCAGTTGCAGGGGATTTAACACCCTTTTTTGGCCTCTGCAGGCTTTGCACGACATGGGTGCACTTACACACATGCAGGCAATACACTCATACATATAAAAACAAAATATTTTTAAAAAGAAAAATTAACCGTGTATTTATCTTGCATCATATTTGTAATTTTGGGGCAGGAAGAATCTTTCATTCACTCACATTTTAGAAAATTTTCAAGAAGAACATCAGCCACACAACTTTTAAAAAATATATTTTATTAACTATTTTTATTTTATGTGTATGAGTAGATTGCCTGCCTGTGTGTAAGTGCACCCATGTTTTGTAATGCCCACGGAGGTCAGAAGACGGCGTTAGATCCCCTGAAACTGCAGTGGTTGTCAGCCACCGCGTGGGTGCTGGGAATCGAACCCTGGTCCTCTGCAAGAGCAGCTGGTGCTCTTAACCATTGAACCATCTCTCCAGCCCTCACAACTCTTTTTAGCATGGTCCAGTGTTCAGAAGTTGGAGGACTTTACAAAAATACTGATTGTAGTGAACAGCCGGGCTCTAACCACAAGTGTAAACTGTATAAATGGAACCTGGAATTGTAAATTGTGTTACATAAGGAATAAATAGCATGAGACAAAATGGCAGGGGAAAGGAGTGGAAAGGATCTGTTACTTCAGAGAATGACCAGGGGAGAAAGATGACAAAGAGCACAATGGGGAAGACACCCAAGTGGGGCCTCAGAGGCTGAGTGGGCTGGTGAGCAAGGAGGCCTTAGGAAGGCTCTGACTGTCACGTGGTCAGAAACTTAAGAGACTAGAAAAAGAAGGCACATGCCTGAGGAGTCTCAGCTCATTCCATTCACTATGTAGTTATCTTGGGCAGTGGGACCACGTGTTAGAGATACAGCGATGAACACCCCAGGTTTATCAATTTTCCTCGTGGGAGTTAGAGCACTGTGGGGAGTCGTTAGTCAAATGGCACAGACACAGGGGAAGACGCTGTGAAGCCAGGGACACAGGGGATTGGCATTATGAAAGCCTAGAAGGAAGGGATCTCACCTGGCCAGTAGGTCAGGGAAAGCCAGGGAAGAGGGCTGAGATATCACTTAAACATTTGCTGAGAAAAGAAGGGGTGGGGAAGCTTCCAGTAGAAGGAATATCCTATGTACTGATTCTCTGCCAACAGGGAGCTGGGTGAGAATGGAAGACTTCACAAAAGACCAGTGTAGCTAGAGCAGGGGAGCCAGGAGGGGAAGGCCTGAGCCTCATATGCCCTAGAGCCATATAGAAAAGCCTGGATTTTTCCCCTAAATACCTGGAAAGTTATGAAGAGCTTTGAGCAAGGGTGTAGTCTGGGCTGAGGCCTATGAATGCTTATTCTAAACAAACTCCTGGTGGTAAGGCTGCTATTTCAGGGTCTCAGCCTCTGAATGTGGCTTTAACTAATACCAAGGGAGTGAGGAAGTGGGGGAAATATGAAGAAATATGCATAAATGCTTAGGAGCATGGGATTAAAAAGAAGGAAATTGAATAGAACTCTGTCAAACAAGGTGAAGAAAGCATCTGTGAAGCCCACTCTCATACTGTGTGTTCCAACAGGTATCAAAGACAAAGCAGAATGAAAATCTGGTGCGCATGCTCCTTAATGCCGGCGTTGATGTGAATGCTGCAGACCGTGTACGTTTGTATTTTGAAACAACATTCAAAGCACTGTCTCTAGTAGTGTCCTTGTCATTGGTAAAGTTGAGTGCTTCATTTTTCTAGATGTTTATAGTTAGTTTTTCTTTCTTTTTTCCTCATTGCCTGTCTCGTAACATTGGGTTATTTATATTTTATTAAACTTGTGAACATAAAATATTTATTGATTAAAGAATGTCTTTAAAAGAACTGGCTTTGACCCTGATGATAAATTAAGGAAAATGACAACAAAATGCCATCCTTAGTAAGTAAGAAGCATGTGTAAATTCAAGCTTGTTACTTTTCACTTAAATGGGCTTTGGAATATTAGGAACCTATTGACTCAGTTTCCTCATCTGTAAAATGGGACTTAAAAGAGTGTGCTGCTGGGGATGAAACCCAAGGATTGCAAAAGCCAGGTAAATTTTACCGCTGAGCTACACCCAGGTCTCTTTGACATTTTTTAATTATGAGGCAAGCTCTTATTAAGTTACCTAGGCAGGATTTGAACTTGTGATTCTCTATCCTTTACAGCCTACCCTAGTATACCTAGTTCTAAAGTGAATATTGGTAGTGCTTATCTTATAAGGCTAAATCCTGCACAATCCTTAAAAGAGTGCTTGACATGTTGCAAATACAGATGTTAACAGCTGCTGCAGCACCCATTTCCCAAGTGGAAGAGAGGTCCCTTTTTTATAAATAGAAGCTAGATAAGGACAAAGTTCAGAGAAACATCCCAGAGGTGGTAGCTTGTTCCTCCCTATAAGGAAGCAAGTGAGAGATTTTGTTCTCTTACCCCTGTACCTCAGACATCCTTCCTCCCTTAATGTTCAAAATAGCATGAAAGCTTATTATTATGGTGTTTTATTTACTTACATTAATTGAGTAATTTAGGTTTCCAATATTTTATTGAACAAAGCAAGTTGAAATGTGATTCCAAAGAATTGTAACTCCATTTGTGATGCTTAACTTACTCTGTACATATTGTCCTGTAATAAAGGCCCTCCCCATCCTTGTTTTTATTAATTGCATTCTTTTAATGTTGAATATTTGGTTTGTGTTTAAATGAAAGGGGAGAGAGTGAGAGAGAGAGAAACAGGAGAATAAATTTTTAAAATGCATGATTTCTTTTAATTTCAAATAGAATTTTTGAATTAATTTGGACAGACTACTACTAAGCACATTATTCCATTAGATAATTTTAAAATTTATTAAGTAGATCAGCCAAGGTTAAGTAAAATATTTTTGAAGATTTTTCTTGATAATTCCATTTAAATACAAGATTTAAAATTTGTACCTGTGATAAAAGTTTTTCTGTGATATTTTTCTAGCCTGTTATGTATATATATATCTACATATATATACATATCTATCTATGTGTTAATTTCCTATGCACATACATATGCATGTCGGAACACACACACACACACACACACACACACACACACACACAGAGATACCCTTTTTCTACCAACCATTTTTCAAAAGCAAAGTAACTATTGTGATCCACATTTTCATTGTAAATAATGTAGAGGTTTATATTATCTTAGTTAATTATATTCTATTTCACATGGAAATATTTCAGAGCCAGACCCCTCACCATTCAGCATCATTTCCTATAAGCTTAGAAGAACCACCAGGACAGATGGCCTAGAAATAATTGTCAGTCTTAGTAGATGAGGATAGGATTCCTTCACTTACACAAACCATTGTTTCTGAGGATTTTTTTTTAAAATAAAGGCAATGTTTTGAGCACAAATTCCCCAGCTATATATACATTTTTGACTTATAGTGTTTTAAGCTGGCACTAAGAGAATTACTATTTTCTAATATGTAATATGAACTGTAAGAAGCTGAATGTAGACTTCTATGTTGAACTGTTATGTTCTTACAGGTAGTCTGTAGTGACAGACTCCCCACATACAGGCGTGTCTAATCTGTGCTCTGCAGGCTGCATGCTTCACACGACAGCTATGAATACAGCACAACATGAACTGTGAACTAACTTAAAACATTATGAGATTCTTTTCTGGCAAAGTTCTTCTTTGTGTAATTTAATTGTGCAATTCTTAAGCATGCATTTCATAGATGACAGTGTTCTGTTGCAGTGTCAAAAGGTTTGACATGCCTGGGAGACTGTGAGGATTTTCACAGAAAATCATAGCGAATGGTACTAAAGAAAGGTCCCTGTGAAAATTCTTTAAGGGAAAAGATGCTAAATGATCCAGGTCATAATTACACATGCAAACAAAAGATTGGTATATTTTCATACCATCTTTTTCTAAGTTGTACATTTTACTTTGGAGTAGAATATGAGAAAGGGAAGATACTGATGGCTGATTAACGGAGTCAAATACATACCGAGGCAGAGAAGAAATACAGCTGCCTGTAAATGCCTGGTAGATTGGTTTTGCTTAGTTGTTCACTACAAAACGTGAAGAGCTGCTAAAGAAGTCAGTGCTGAGCCTTCAGAGAACCTGACTGATGACCTGACAGGTTGGTCCTTCGTGTTTCAGTATGGTTGCACTGCCTTACATTATGCCTGCCAGATGAAAAACCAGACTCTCATCCCTCTGCTACTGGAAGCCCAGGCAGACCCCACGATAAGGAATAAGGTAAGGACCTAGGAATTGTGGTTGGGTTATTCTGGTAGCAGTTTTTTTTCCATCTCAGTCTTGTGTTGAAGTGAGTTTATTGCCTCTCAAGTGAGTCACAATAAAATTAATTGCTCTTGTTAAGGAATGAAGTTATCTATTTTTGGTTTTCAGTTTTTAAAATATTTATTTATTTGTTTGTTTGTATATTTATATAGGAGATTGAATCCAGGGCCTTGAGTATGTCAGGCAAGTGCTCTACCACTGGGATGCATCTCCAACTGTTTTTTGCTTTTTAAATTTGAAGACAGGGTTTCACTCAGTTTCCCAGGCTGGCCTTAAAGTTGTTTCCCATTGCTTTTAGAACAGAAGGATATTTAAAACCTCTATGAAGCCTGGAGACAATCTATATAAACTGCTGACTAGGCCTTCTGCATTGACATTTGACTTGCCTGAAAGTAATTAACTGTAATTTCTTTTTTTTCTGCAGCATGGTGAGAGCTCACTGGATATTGCACAGAGACTGAAATTTTCCCAGATTGCATTAATGCTGAGGAAAGCATCATAGCCCTGTGACCTCCAAAAGGGAGACAGAGACACAGCTAAGGGGCCAGATGTTGCCTCTACTTTGGACTATTGGACTATGGACCACGCAGGCTGGACATCTCTACTTTATGGGGATGATGATGAGTGTTGTACTTATAATGACTCATCCAGTGGAGTTCACCAGGGCCATTATTCTTCTCAAAGATACGTAGACTTGTTGGAGTCTCTATTACCATCAAAAACTGATATTTTAAATGCGTTGTCTCCTGAAGAAGGTCAGAGTTGCCCAAGACAGCATTCTCTCCTCCCAACTATGTCATTCTTATAATGAAGTTTGCCCTACATCCTGTCCTAGGAGACAAATGGTTCCTCTCAGGCCCCTGGAGTATGAAGCAAAGACTTGAAACATATACATATGTACATGATGGTATATATGTGTGTGAGGGGGTAAGAGGTTCCAATGGAAATATTCCTTTGATGAAACAACTTCAATAAAAATGTCTCTCAGTTGCCAATGGTGTGTTTAAATCACAGAGTCTGGCAAATGTTGATGGCAGAACTGCTTTTTTGTCATTTTTTCCAGAGCACTGGTTTACCAGCTACCAACATGCATTTTAGCAACAGTTTAACAATAAATGCCATTCATTTTATGAAAGATAAGTAACAATGAAAAATATTTGCTTAAAAATCCTTATGGGGCTAGGAGTATAGTCCATGATACAGCAGGACCTTGGTATACACAAGGCCCTGGGTTCAATCCCCAGCACCAAAAATAAAGAACTTTCTTATAAACCCAAACTGGCTGCTATCTTGGTAGCTGTATGTATTCATTTATTTTCCTTTTTCATTGGAATTGGAAATTAAACTTAAGGCCTCACAAATACTAAGCACATGCTCTACCACCAAACTACTCTCAGCCCCAGTTTTATTTATTTTTATTAATAATATTAAAATATAACTTATTTAGATAAAGATCTTCTTTGCAAAGATAGAGAACTATCTGGTTTATGTTTCTAAGTGAGAGATTATGAATACCAAACGTTTCATTTGTTTTGTAAATTAAACTGAATGGAAATAAATATACTCTATGAGTCAATTTTGGAAAATTAAGACTGAGTCAGGCAAGCCGTTAACATGGACCAAGGCATACTGTAGATGGGCACAAATACAGTTTTAAAATGAGATTTACTATCCTTGAACAGAGCAAGATTTAATAGAAATCAAAGCTGGAAATGTTCATAAAAATATGTGCAGACCCTAAGGGAAATAACACTATACACATAGATATTGAACTTTCTAAGTGTCATTAAACAACTTATTTAAGATTCATATTAGCATTGGACTGAGTTACCAGGTAATTTAGGAGGAAGAAAAAAGTGCACTTTTTGCTCTAGTGATGCTTAATCCACAGCACTATGCTTTCAATAGCATGCCTTCAACATGCAGGGTATAGCTTTGACTTATCTTCAGAGAAGAGTTTGCAAAATAGTATTTACAACTGGGATCTTTGAAATTGTGTGAAAATTGAACATCTTCCTAAGAAATAAACCTAGATTTATGAATGAGTTAGGAGTTATCTAAGAGTAATTGTGATTAAAGAATACAATACGTGGTAATTTATTTCATTATGCTCATGGCAAAACTTTCTTCGTAGCTTTTATTTGGTCCAGTAGGTCTTCTAACCCCAGATGAGAACCTCAGGATTGATACACACAAACATGCTACACATGATGCATAATTAATTTATTGGAAAACTCATAAATATCCTACAAAACATTTTTTTCTGCTATCCATCTATGAAACCTGACCCTATTCCATGGATATTTAACATACATTTTACTCATAGCATACTTTGACTTTCTGTTGTACAGGTAGTGTGGCTTTCTGAAATGGTATCCCATCTCTATGGCAGCAAGGTGGCCATATCCAGTTCACTTGGTCTTAGTCAACAATTCAGAGATTTACAGCCTCGATATTTATTCCAATTTGTCCTTTTACTTTATTGTTCCCAAAATATGACTTACAGAAAATAGATACTTTGAGTAAGTTTACTTGAATGCTACATCAAATATTCAGACACTTAATGTTTGTCAAGTAAGACTACCCTACAAGATGGTGAAGAAATGAAGCACAGGAATTCTGGCTTCACCAACTTAGTTTAGTTTAACTAACTATAGAAAAAGTAAATATAAGTTTTAGTGTCAAATGAGAAAATCTGAAAGAAAGCATACCATATTTCTATCCTCCTACCTACTGATTTAGTAGATTTCTATGTCTGGAAATCACCCTTGAAGTCTTCCACTCATGGCCTAGCTCCGTATTTCACGAGATTGTTCCAAGACTTGCCAGTAGCACAAGTCTCACAGTTTGACTTTGCAGGTTCCTTGGGAAAGGTTGGACTCCTGCTTCATCAGGTGTATGATTTCATTGTACATCCTGTGAGGAGCATCCAACCCCCAGATGAAATCCACGTGGGCCCATTCAGGAATGTTTTTGTGGTAGATGAGGTTGGTCATTTCAGAGAGCAGTGTTTTCACATCCTCTGGACTTGAAAGCCAGTCCTGACCTCCTGTCCACATTGCTGTCGGGACTGTCATATCTCGAACTTTGTACCTTACAGGAGTTGGCTAGATAAAAAGAATGGTTTTAACTCCAGGTAACATTTTAACTTCCAAAGTCACAAGTAAACATAACAGTTATGCCCTGTATTGTGGTGAAAGTCATGTTGGTGTTAGAGCCATGTAGAGCTCTGTTAACAGTTTCTATTCCAACTTCTATTTAAAATTTTTTTCATATTTTATTATTTTTATTTTATGTGTATGTGCATATTGCCTGCATGTAGGTAAGTGCACCCGTGTTGTGAAATGCCTGTGGAGGACAGAAGAGGCTGTCAGATCCCCTGGAACTGGAGTTATGGACAGTTGTTGCCATGTTACTGCTGGGATTCGAACCTGGGTCTTCTCCAAGAGAAACCAGTGTTCTTAACCACTGAGCCCATCTCCAGCCCCTCCAACTTCTATTTTAAGGTAACATTACTTTACATGATTTATTTTTATTTATTTTATCTGTGAAATGGAGATAATACCTCTAATAACTTTCTAGGTCATGTGAGGAGACATGCAAATTAGCTTTCTCTCTCTGTCTCTGTGTCTCTCTGTCTCTCTGTCGCTCTCTGTCTCTCTCTGTCTCTGTCTCTGTCTCTATCTCTCTCTCTGTCTCTGTCTCTCTCTCTCTCTCTCTCTCTCTCTCTCTCTCTCTATGTGTGTGTTGCTAGGGAATGACTCCAGGGCCTCATGCATACTGAACATGTGTTCTACCACTAAGCTGCATTCCAGTCCCTACCTTGTATTTTACACAGTGAATAATGTGTAACTTTTCTTCTTATTAAACATATTATAAGTAAATTTCCCTTTAAAAATGATGCTCCTTAGCAAAACAGGGGTAGAGAGAATATTAATACATCTTTCAGCTCTCGCCAATGAAGCTTCCTCATACGACAGAGTGCAATGTACACAGAAGCCACAATTTCTAAGTTCTAGAGAACAAGAGACTGCTAGACTGCTAGTGTATGTCCCTGGATAGGACTCCTATATTAAGCTTCACCCACCGAGGAGTCAGGGACCATTGCAGAAGAGGGTGTGGAAAGATTGTAAGAGCCAGGGTTAGTGCATGAACATAAGGAAACAGAGGCTTTCAGGCTACTGGGAACTTGCTCATATGAACTTGCAACAATGGTGACAGCATGCATAAGACCCATGCCAACTCATTCAGACAAAAACCCAGCATAAAAAGAGGGAAATGGGCTGCAGGCCCCTACCCTAGTCAAGGAACTATTGGCAAAAGGTTACTTCTGGGTGAGGAAGAGTAGATCTTTAAGAGAGTGGCTCTAGATAAGCAAACTAGACTCTAGTGGATGATCTTGTACCAAGGGACATCTGGGTACAAATGCTTGACCTGCTGAATAGGACTTAACATATATGGCAGAATGCATGAAATTTGGTGGGAGGGCTATGGGAGGCATAGATGGGGGAGGGGGTCTATATTTGATTAAGCCCTATTATATGAAATGCACAAAAACTCAATAAAAATATTTTTAAAAATAATGATGATTCAATTTTATGTCTTACAGGGCTTATATTGAGTTCAATATTGTATAATTATATTAATTCACCAGTGAACCTAAAAATTTTATAGCCACTTTTGAAAGAGATGTATCTTTGCTCTGGAAACTGTTATTGAGTATGTTAAAGCTGTTATGAAATGCTTCTTCTAATAAAATAAAAAAATGTAAAAAACATAAATATGAAAAAAATGATCCTGCTAGTTACAATTTCTGAGGCAAGAACTGGACATTCTACAGAGAAGTGGAGAGTTATGGAACCTATTGGGAAGGTCTGTGCATCCCCATAAACATGGCATAGGTCCAGCTTAATTGCCTCTCCAAAAGCAGGAGAAATCCACAGTCACCCTCTGGCACTCAGTTACTTTGAAGTAAGGAGGAGGTAAAGTTAAAGGACCGGCTCCAGCCCTCACATCCAGCTCTGCCTGAATCATCATCAGAAGGTATGTAGTCTTCTTTATTCAAGGGACTTTCCTTGTTCAAGCAGTGCTGGTAGATTTTCCTGGCTGCCTGAGTCACTGAGGTTAATAAACACTAAGAAATTTCTATAGAACCAGGAAAGCCAGTTTCTTACCATAAAGTCAATCATACACTCAGCTTTGATCCCAGATATGCTTCCTTGTCCTTCAAGCTCCCTAAGAATCTGAAATGATTGCCTAATTAGACCTGTACCAGAAGGACATTCTATGGACTGAGTAATGCTTTTTCTCATCTTCTGGGCAAAGACATTGGACTGAATATCACTTCTAGCTCTAAGTTGGCATGATTTAAATTACCATCTTTTTACGTATTTGTTTTCCCTTCGTTGCTGATTTTCCATTCTTCTTCTGCATACATCATTTTCTCTAAAACACACAGCCCCCCAAATCCTGAAATATTAAAGTCATCTTAGAAATGTGGCTGCTTTCTCTAAGGGTCCGTTCTTGAGGACAGTCAAGAATGATCTTTTTAAAAGGAGGGAGTTGGTGACAGTGACTGAGAGTTTCTAAGGGGCAATTCACAGTTTGTTCGGTTGCCTAACATTTTATGTCTGGGTTAATTTACAGCAGTGAAAATTATTATGATATGAGACCTCAGAAAAGATTAGGCTGTGTCTGTTCTGCCCTCCAGTTCAGTTTATTGACTAATATCTATCTACGTCTACACACATGGTAACTAGTAATCTTCAGTGAGGGTTTTACACTCAAAAGACAAGATCTGCCCAATTTGGATTCCCACACTTCCTTTTTAATTTTATTTCATAGTTCTGCTAACACAATAATATTTGTGGGAGTGTTTTGGTAATTTTAACTTGAAAATTGCATTTATTAAAAGTATGATCAGATAGAACTCCTGTGTGTGTGTGTGTGTGTGTGTGTGTGTGTGTGTGTGGTGAGCACATGTGTGCATACATGTGTGCAGGTGCTCATACTAGGAGGCACTGCATTCTGGAGGCCAGAGGAGGACCTTGGTGTCTTGTTTATTGCACTCCACCTTACTCCCTTGAGACAGGTCTCTCACTGAATCTGGAATTTTCTCAGCACTAAAGTTATAGGTATGCTCAGCCACGCTCAGCGAGTGTCTTACCATGGTGCCATCTCTCCAACCACAATATAACTCTTAGAGATTATGTAATAGAATGAGTTTTTAGATAAAGTGGGTCCTCCTGAATCATAGGAGCCCACCCACATCACACAGATTTGAGGTACAGAAGCCACACTAACACAGAAACCCTCACATACTACTTCAAGCTCTTTTTACTGTGTCATGCCATCCTGACATCCTTATTTGCCTATTTTTTTGGGTCCTAACAAGGTCCTCCTAGTACTGACTCATCCCAGGACTAAATCTACACCATCTTGCTCTCAAGAAGTCCATTACCTTGTTTTCATTCTTTTGTAGAGGGAGGCCTCTGGACTGTGCTGCGTAGTATCCCATTTTCAAATGCAGTCAAACTTGAACTATCATTTTCTGCTTGAATTCTTGTATTTTAATCCTATCCCTAGAATAACTTGCCATTATAGATTCCTTTTCACACATTCCCAATGGACATATTTTTAGCAGATGGTATTTGACTTTCTTACTTGCTTGCATTTCTCCAGATTTTTGGTCTCACTTCCCCAGTCAAATGCACGAAGTTCCCCAGAATTTACTGCCTGAAAGAGAGAAGGTAAGGAAAAGCATGGTATATAAAGAAGGTGGTGAGGTGTCGGAAATGTGTTATCATGTCTTCAGTTATGAGGAAAGCAGAGAATAAAGCTGTCTGAGCTACTCTTCCACTCCACGTTGGGAGAATTTTTAGAAGAGTGCAAAGGCAAGACTCTGGGTCTTTTAGTAGAAAGATGGACTACAGAAAAGTGTTACCATTGTATAGTTGGTTTCAGGAAGTGTAACTGCTGTATCAGTGTGAAAGGGCATTTGCCACAATTCCAGAGGCTATGCTGGGAAATGCCTCCTGCAACTATGCAATATGGTGATCCCGACAGATAGTGACCAAAATCTAATTCAGTTCAGAATTTACTATGTCATCAACTCTCTCTCTCTCTCTCTCTCTCTCTCTCTCTCTATATATATATATATATATATATATACACACACATATATGCACACATGACTTTCTCTCCTGAGACTGCTGGTAAAGGTTGCAACACCAAGAACTGTGAAGATCCCTTTACCCAGTTGGGCCACTTTGGCCTCTTTGTTCCTGCTTGAGAGAGCCACAAAGGAGAATGTGGAAACACGTTTTTCTTCAGACATGTCTTGGAGTGGCTACAGTCAGAGAAGCATCTTACTTGAACCATCATACTTTCAAGATCCACTGAAGACATCCCTAAGCTACTTTTTGCCCTTGCCTCCTAATTCCTAAAATTTCAGCTGTCTCAGTCAAGTACACATTCAATCACTGACCAGATTTGAGCTTAGAATAAACAGAGACCCTTGGGCTTCCTAACTAGTTCAGACAAAATGCTCAGGAGTCCTTATCAAAAGCTTCAAACTTGACATTCTTACCTGGCTCCAGTGTAGAATATTTTGCACAGATGTTCCAGAAAGAGTATGGGCAACATATACATTTGCTCGACTCTGCAACAAAATATGAATGATTTATGAGATCAGGAAAAAGCCACCGGATGTGAATCTCGTCAAGCCCAAATCTCCAAGGTGACAGATTAAGAAAGGGGAACACGATTAAATTACCAGAAATGATCTACTAAACAGTAAAGTACATATGAACAGAAATAAAACACCAGTGCTTCCCTGAGAAGTATATTCTCATTTGGGAATGCCTTCCCATTTAAAAACTTTGCTAGTTTCAATCCCCAACACTGCAAAACTAAATAAAACAGAAATAAATAAATAAATAAATACATAAATAGATAATAGTAAATTTACTAGAGATATTTAGAATAAGGGCCAAATCATTCTGTATATTAATCTCCAACTCGGAGCATGCATCCTGGGGAGTTCACCTGACACCACTAGTCACTATCTATACCTAAGCCAAGCTGAAACTCCCATTTTTCAGCAAGGAGCTAGAAGTACAAATCAAAGGATCCCAAGTGGAGGGAAGAAGTGGGTGGTGTGTGGTTGGCTGACTACCAGTTTTCCAGTTGTTCTTCTCCACCTATTAACTGTAAACCAACCTCTTCTACTTGTAATATGCCAATTTAACACCTGCCAATACCCTGATGCTAACTCTGCTTCAGGCCCTCCTGAAACTTTCCCAACATTTCCTTGCAATTTAGAAATTAAAAATTACTGGGTGTATGTCATTTCTCTGACTCTTGACTGGTGGTAGTTCACCTCAGAGGATTAAGACTGAAAACTTCCAGCTTGGCTTAGGAAATGGAACTTAGGAGGCTCGTACTCACCATGTTTATATTGTTTGTGTTATATCCTCCCATAAGTAATATGATATTGCTGCAAATTTGATCAAGAATCATCTGGCCACAAAGGTAAATAAAAAGATCTCTGAAGAACCTGGTTTGGTATAAAAATTCTTTTCTGCCAAATAATCCCTGCGGAAACATGAGATGAGACAACAGCTCAAGTTCAAAGGTGTGTGTGAGCTACAGGAAACTTGGCTGCAAGGGTTTCTTACCTGCACACAGCCTCTGAGTTGTCACATACCTTGAGCATCATATCCGGCAACAACAGAAATTTAGTCCCAGGACTTTTTGCATATTTAACTGTGGCTATAGGGGCTAAAGCAAAATACATTTTGATTTTATGAGCTAGCTCTGGCATTGTGGAAAATGCAATAAAGCCTGTAAGAAAGAGAGAAAAAGTTATCATCATGGGCACTGACTATCCAAGAATTAATAAAATGTGTGGTTTCTTTTTATTAAAATCTTTTTAAAATGATGTGTGATTGTTCGTAACTCTTTTCTGATACAATTGCAGATGCCACAGGTGGGGGGCTGCAACAGTGAAACCTCCATTGTTTCCTGTGACATCTACTGTATTTATTTGCTTTCAAGTAGCAAGTTTTCATTGTGTTAAACTGTTCTGATTCTATAGCCTGAATAGAGACCAATTTCCCCACATATCCCTGTTTAGGGAAGATCTCTGTTGAAGCTATGGAATAAAGAGACTATCCCAGAAAGCCAGGACTTGGTCTTGCATTTGAAGTCATGTATGTATACTCATTCTGTTTAGGGTGATGTTGCAGTTTGAGAGATGAGGATGAGAGAAACTCTTCTCACATCACTTCTGTTTAGTTTCCAGAAAGTGAGTGAATCTCAAGAAAGACTGAGCCCTTCTTTACTACTCTCTGTGTCTGATTAGCTGTGCAGTCGCATGCAAAGGCAAGCACAGGAAAGATTCATTATTCTCGCTTTCTTAGCTATACTGTGAGCATGGAAGGATGAAAAATACGTAAGCCCATCCCACCATAATTCTCACCAGATTAGAACTCCCCTCAAATATCAAGATCTGAGAACCCTAAATAACCTTCCCCAGGAATTTTTTTCTTTATGCAAAGCAGGAAGTTCCTCAAATGAACACTCCTGTGGTTGACCACTAAAAGAATTTTCTGCTTTCTTGCCCATACCTTCCTTTCAAAACAGCATCTAGCACATTTGCCTCCATGTTAAGCTAAACAATTGAACACAGAAAAGCCAATTTTAAAAGATGTCTGAATACTAGAGAAGGAGCAGATCTGGAAGTCTGTAACCTTTCTGTGAGGGTGTTGTGAGACCTTGCACCCCACAGCACACTGCTGCTATCAAAAAGCAAGCCAAGCCAAGGATAAACTTCTCATTCTTTAGTGTGTCAGTTAAAAATGAGCCAACCGAATTTGAACTCAGTTCCAATAGTCCCTCAGCCATTAGAATTTTTTATTCTAATTTTTAAAGTCAGGTTCATCTTGTGTGGTAAACTACATGTTATCTGCTAAATGAAAGTCAGTGACTCGAACTCTACCATAAGTAGTTTAGACTTTGCTAGCCTGGTATTCCACGAGTCTCAGCCTCCTTCCTTATGGTATGTGTCCCAGAACTGAATAATTTGAAGGAGCGACACTAACAATTCGATATGCGTGAACTTTTTGGGGAAATGTTGGACTTGCACATACAGTAAATTGTCTCTTTCTGATTCTAGCTTCTTTGAAGCTTTTCAGAGTATGTTAAATCTTTTATTTCCCTAGTAGCTTGAGGACAGAGGAATTGTGGAGGTGGGGGGTGGGGGTTGACACAGGGTCTCACAATGTAGCCCTGGCTAGCTTGGAATTCACTATGTAGGCCGTGTTGGCCTCAAACTCACAGAGATCCACCTGGCTCTGCCTCTCGAGTGCTGGTATTAAAGGCCTGTGCCTAATTTAAGGAATTCTAAGGAGATGAAAAGTGGCCACTCTATCCCTGGAAATTCAGAGTTAGCAAAAACCAAGCTTGGTGACACTAATTAGTACTCACTGAGAGCTTTTGCAGAAGCAAACCATCTGGTGAGTCAGGTGTGGTGAGAGCACCCATGACCAGAGTACCTGCACAACTTGCTGATGGCATGGTGTGTTACTACAAAAAAGCAACAGCAACCATCCTGAGTTGAGCCAAAGCTGGCTGAAATGGTTTTCTAGCTTACCTATTTCTGATCTTTGAAAGATTTGACTTAAAAAACCCCAACATCTGTGAAGGTGGTGAGTAGACTTTTTGGGAGCTGAGGGGTAGATATGTATGATTTCTATACAATTTATTGTCCTTGCTATATAATGGTTATTTGTATGTATTTGCATCACACGAGTACAAGCACTGGCTTAGTGGCTCACTGTAAGGTCTAGTTCTTTCACTAGGTCACAATGTATTCATCTAGAAAAAGGGGGTACAAATTCCTCTTATGTTCTTGTTCAGAGATTTAAAAAACATGTATTTGTAATGGCAAGCAGTTAACCAGGACTCACAAAAGACAATTATAATTATTGTGAAGCTAGAAGCACATAAAGAAGGTATTGAGCCACAGAGATCAAAGGAAGCAAGACAGTTAACTCCATCTTTCCTTAACAAGTATAAGCCTTTCCTGGTAGTTGGACACAACTATCCTGGCTGAAAACTATTTCTCCTTAGCAATCTATATCCCAGCTCTTAACTCAGGGTTTGGCCTCAACAAAGAGAAATGCCCTTCCCAGTCTCAGAGAGCCTCTTCTTGGCCAAACTCTGCCTCTTGGATCTTTCTTCCTTCTAATCCAAGCTTAGCTAAAGGTATTTTTATTGCTTTTGGGTCTGATATGGGGTCAGGATAGTGACAATCTCCATCTCTAGGGTAACTGATCTGTTGGATCTGTCCTTCAGGAGTCATCACAAAAGTCTCTCACAGGTTCACCCAGACCAGGACAAAGTACCTCATGAGTCCCAGACACTAATATTGACAGGAAAAGAGAAAAGTGAGCAAATACCATAAGTTCTGCATATAACACCCTGATAATTCTTTGTGTCTTATTGCTTACTGTGGGGCTAACACCCAACACTAGGCCTCACTCACTGAACACATTTATTGAGTGCCTATTGTGTGCTTCAACTTTCTATTATGGTGTGATTTAGACACTATATCTGTTCACAGAGCTCACATGCAATGTCCTATTGAATAGGCCAATTAGTTCTAACACTCTTATGAGAGAAATATTATGATCATTTTGCAGATGAGGAAATTGAGAGCAGAGCGATAAGAATTTGTTTTAAGGTATCTAAGCGGGAGAGATGGCATTTGCACTCACAACCTTGCTACCTCTGCCATACCCCAGAACACCCTCAGTTCAGTCTCTGTTCCCTGAAGTGTTTGAAGCCTCTGAAGAGAAGGCCAGATCTGAGAGGAGTGAAAGTTGGCTGGAGTCCAGGCATAACTTTGTGCCTGTCACAAGTTCATGTCTTCTGAACATACAAACCCGCTTCCTTTGAACCTACCCATGGTGGTGCCCTGTGAATAGCCGACATAATAAATCTTTTCCTCGCCAGTTTTCTTTAAAATAAAGTTTATCACTGCGGGAAGGTCAAACCTAGCCATCTCATCATAACTATAAGAGGAAAAGACAAAGTTATACGAAAAATTATAATATGAACAGAATACAAACAGAATCACCCCGCCCCCATGCCCAGGGCTTGAAAAGAATATTCTCAATATTAACTCTGCTAGCTTGCCACTGTGTTCCCACAGCCCTCAGGATGGACTGGTTTCAAACCTGCTTATGTGTGGTTATCTCTGGGGTCACAAGCTGCCAGGGAATTGTTGTTCTCTTCAAATGGTATTATAGAGTGATTATTATCAGTGAATAGTTTTGAGCACATTAGTCACCTCCTAGTGGAGGCTCTTCCTACCCTGTGCATGAAAGAACACAGAGAGACAGAGATAGAGATTCCTTTATAGGACAAATACTGAAAATGCAATAAAACTCTTGTTTGATGACATGCCTGGAGAGCAGCTTGGATATCAATAGGACTAGAAACATTGTACATCTGTGAGAGATGTTAAATCAATAATAGTACACAATACTAAATAATTTCCCTTTTTAATATCACTTGGTCCAATCTCCTTGGGCTCCTAGTCCATGTCATCAGATATGGAGGAGTCAGTCCCTGAGTTTTAACCTCCATGGAAATGGATCTACATTTCTCTCTATCTAGTCCCAATCACCTGACATCAGCTGTCATTCTCAATCCATTAGCCAGATCTAGACTTCAACATGGGGAACCCAGTATTCCCCATACTTACCCCCAAAATCACAAAATGATTAAGAGAATTAAGGGATATCATTTTGGGATATCAATGATACAGCTAAATGAGTTATCCAAATGCTAGAAGCCGTAATCCTTTACCAAGTTCTTCCAGAGACATCTGCATCCACCTCCATCCTCAAGTTTTTATATACCTGAAAGCCCAGAACTCATCTTGGTCTATGGAGAGAGTCTTGTGTTTCCGAGACCAGGTGTTTCCCCTGCTGTTTGCCATCCATACATCAAAGCCAGCGTCAGCCAGAATGAAGCCCAGGCTGTTGTTTGGCAAGTTGGAGATCCAGTTGGTGGCATCTCCAAATAGGCCATGTTGTAGTAACACCACGGGCCTGGATCCTACAGACAAAAGAAGGTTTCAGCTGTTTGAAATGTCCCTTATTTTTCTTGTTATTCTTCTAACGTTAAGGCCTTGCAAGTCAGAGAAGTCTTTGTTCAAATCTTCCTTCTCCTGCTTAGTAGTTGGACTACCTTGGTCAATTAACGTTTTTGTGTTTTAATTTTTTTGCCATCAGTAAAATGGGCTTTTTGAAATGATTAAATGATATAGATCACAAGGAACAAATAGCACATTGTCTGTCAACGATAAAAAAAATCAAATAGTTTCCATTTGTGTGTGTGTGTGTGTGTGTGTGTGTGTGTGTGTGTGTAGTTATTGTTGTGAGACTTATTTCGGCTTCCCAGAAAATATTTGAACTATCCCAGTAGAGTATATTTTAAAATGACTGAGTACCATGTTTAAATAAAAAGTTTATTATATATATATATATATGTGTGTGTGTGTGTGTGTGAATGAAATGGTATAATGACCAAATAAAAGGACCCACAATCCAGCTCGAAAGGGTTGAAAGGGGCTTCTTTAATACAGGAAAACTTGTACATCGGAATAAAATTTTAAGTTGGGTGCGGTGGCAGTATCTATAATCCCAGAACTCAGGTGGTTGAGTCAGGATGAACATGAGTTTGAAGCCAACCTGGGCTACCTAGCGAGGCACTGTTTCTCACAACCAAAACAAAACATAATAGTATAGCTCATTGAGAGGCAAAGGGAGCTATAAGAATACCAGCCACTAGGGGGTGGGCGTACTGTGCACCAATTGGACTAAAAGCATTTTTTGAACTTGGACTCCAATGCCCCAAGTTCAACAATAAACAGCCTGTGAGAACAAATAGACACCTGACCTACAAATAGGGGGGCAGGTGACTCCTACCCTTAGTAATCATTATACTTGAATGCTTGGAAGAGCTATGCCTGGCCCAGGGCCCTCGGATTTGTGGGCCACAGTGAGAAGTCTCCTTGTTCCTACACTATGCATTTACTTGCACAAGTTTCATTCATTCATCCTACAAATATTTATTAGCATCCAGCATATTGGGTCAGCATTGTGTCACTTGTTGCATATAGCCTTGAATAAAATAGATGAAGTCCCTGCTTCCATTCTGTTTCCACTCTGGTGGAGGAGAGACAGACAATAAACCGGAAAGAAAATATCTATTGCTTGAAATGTTTTTAGGCATGGTAAAGGAGTGTATGAGGCCAGATGTCAATAGATGGCAAGGGGCTGCATTTTGACTATGGTGGTCAGTGAACAAGAAGGATCTGGGTAAGCTGCACAGAAAGCTGTAGGTTTAAAGCATTGAGATGGAAACATTGTAGACGTGTATCAGGCACAGACATGCTGATACAAATTTAAAAAGCTGATTTTCAAAAGGCTACATGAGTTCAATTAGAATGAAACAAAATCCTGAAGCTTCTCTATACCAAAGTCCAGTAACATTTGCCCAACATTTTCTGATTATAATTAAGAACATGAGCTACACTGGCAAATGGCTCTTCATTTCTTGATTTCAGTGCAATTTACTGGCAAGTGTCAGCACATACTTTCTGGGCTAGTCACAGCACCTTTGTGTGAGTCAGTATCTTAGGATAAGAATGAAAATTAAATGAGACTACTGTAATAAAGCACTTAGTATTATAGATAGCACATTGAAAGAACACAAGAAAATATGGTATCAGGGGCTGGAGAGATGGCTCAGTGTTTAAGAGCACTCTCTGTTCTTATAGAAGACCCAGGTTCAAATCTCAGCACCCACATAGAGGCTAACAGCTGTCTGTAACTCCAGTTCCAGTGGATCTGAAGCCCACTTCTGTCCTCCATGGGCATTGCATGACATAGGTGCACTTACATATATGCAGGCAATATACTCATACACACAAAAGATTAAAATTTAATAAAAATCATATTATCAGCATCCCTGACAGATAATATGGTTGCTGTTATGAACTGTAAAGAACAGGGCCAAACTCTAAGGGAGTTGGAGCATACTTTGGTGATGAATGTTTCAAAAGCCACGGTTAGCTGAGAATCTCACATTTAAAGATGAAATTAAATACCCATTGAAAATTTAAAATGTGCACATAGAGCTTGGTTCTTTCAAAGTTTTTAGTGGAAAATAAGCCAACATCTTAAACATTTAAAGTGCTCTTTGGATGTGCATTGTTAAACATCAGGTAATATATTGGAATTTTCATTCTTCATCAACTCAGTCTGGTGGTTTCTTCAAGGAATCATCAGAGAATGTTCTAGATTAATGAGAAGGACTTTGGAGAATGGGCTAAGTGCTGGAATATGTTAAAAAGTTGATTTCTTGAAGATTTATTTATTTATGCTGATTGAACCCACAGCCTTATATATGGTGATCACATACTTTACTCCTGAGCACCTTCTCCAACCCAAAGGTGTTTTTGAGAATCAAAAATTATATGCTGATTATATGGATGTGGTTTGATAAGGTCAAGGTGATAGAGAGCATATGGGAACTGATAACATCCTCTGACTTAACCAATGACTCCCAGTCTATACTAAGAATCCAGACTCTCCACTATACATTGAAACCAGAAGGAAGTTTAGGCCACAAGAAAACTATCATGTTAGGGTGACATTGGGTGACCCATACCTTCCTTCTTAAATTGCATCAACCCTTTAGGAATTCTGTTAACAGAAAGGATGTACCCATCTTCAGTTACAACTTCATACTCTTCACTGGGATACCCTTGGTGCTGGATGATCTCACTCTATGGAAAAAGCACAGTTAATTTAGGGTTCAGGTGTGTAAGTGGCTGTAGTCTCAATGATTCAAAAGAATAGATTCCTTGATGCTCTAAGATATAGGCAAGCAAGTCCTTACTTTTCTCTAACTAATCACATTACTTTAGTACTGTCAGTCAATCCTCTTCATGCTTCAGGTTCATTACTTTTTATCATTTTTGCAGCACTGGGGATCAAACCCAGGGTCTCCCATGTAAGACCAGTACTCTGTCACTATACTACACCCATCCCTATCATTCCCTTTTTACTTTTCATCTGGGTACAGAACTAGATCATGGTTGTCAGAACTGGGGGATCAAAACACCAGCCTCACCTGAGCATCTGTTAAGAAGGCAGAGCATCGCATTCAAATGGGGCATACTGAGTTAGGAACTCTGGAGATAAGGCCGAGCAATTTCTGTTTCAAATGGGGTCTTTAGAGAATTTTGATGTTTGAAAACACTGGAGCAGAACACAAATTGTAAAACCTTGGCATACTTCGGGCTCATCCAGAGGAAATAACCTTGAACTCAGGTCGGATTAGGGATTAGGCAATTATACTGTAATCAGTGCTGTGCCTGCTGATTACAATTTAGGGGGAACTCTGGGCCCCATGTTACTCCAGGTCATTTTTTCTGAAACCACATATATAAGGATAATGATTTTGAACATTTTAAACTGAAGATCTCTCAGGGAATTTGAGGACAGCTACGAAAAACTGCTGTGCATAAATATTCTTGTACTCATTTTTCAAATGTTCCAGAGTCCTTGTTGCCCATTATGGACCACTAGTCAAAAGCCTCTCCTCCAAACTGTCGAGTCCTCCTCCTAAAAGACCTCATTCCTCTTGCTGTCTGTCATCACCCAGAGAAGGAAGGAAGTATTTCTGTTAGGGACTTCTTCAAAATGAGCAAAGGAGGAGAAATCCCATGCCAAAGGTCTCACACTGAATGTAGAGCAATGCAGCACAGTCATTAAGAAGAAAGGTCCTGCTTGGCTCTGATGGTAACGCACAAATTGGTTGCATGGTGCTGAAAAGCCTAGTTACACTGTCTCTGTTCCTTACACTATTCCTGTTAGTTCATGCTGTGTCGGATTATTGCAAAGACTACACATATAACACTAACTACAATGCCTGGCACATAGCAGCAGGTACTCAGCAGGCATTACATATAATTAAAATACAATGTGTACGTATGTAAAACCTAACTAACCAAGTATTATGGAATGCAGTGTTCATATGTGTCTGTTTGTGGCATCATTGCATAGGTTAACTTAAAAATTTTTAGAGCGTGTATGAGTCCTTCTCAGAGGGCTCGCCAAGATGTAAGTTGCTGGACAGGTATATTCAGTAGGTCTGGAATGGACCCAAAGCACTGACATTTTTAACAAGTTTCCAGGTGCTGCTTAAGGTGCTTGCTGCCCCAGACAGACAATCCGTTCAAGAATTTCTGTTGGAGACAACTTGGAGTGATAAGATATGTAAAATATCAGAATAGAAGTCGGCTGATAAGGTAGAGGTTATAGGTTCTATGTTATTGAGGGCCATTTGTAGGCGAGGGCTGAAGCATGTGAGGGCAGGAAGGAGTAAGGATTCTGATCAGGGACAGCACCATGAGAAGGACTCATTAGGCAAAAATTTAAGGAGGAAGGAGAATGTGAGATGGTCTTTGAGGACTGAAAAGGAGTTATTCAAGAGAACTTACAGGCAAAGATATCTCAGAAGGAAAAGAGCTACATGTTTAGTGAATGTTTTCTACAGATGATCAACAGACCATATTTGACAAAAGAATTTATATAGGATAATATTAAGACATAAATTTGTATACATAAACATATTTTAAAGAATAAGATGTGGTGGGGCTGGAGAGATGGCTCAGAAGTTAAGAACACTGACTGTTCTTGCGGAAGACCTGGCTTGGAATCCCAGCACTCACATGGCAGCTGACAACTGTCCTTAACTCCAGTTCCAGGGGATTTGATAGCCTCTTCTGTCCTCCATGGGCATTGCACTACATAGGTACACTTACTTACATGCAGGCATGACACTCATACACATAAAATAAAAATAATAAAATATTTTTAAAAACTAAAGAAAGAATAAGGTGGTAAATTTCAAATTTGCATAACCATTTTTTAAAGTTTTAAAATCTTTATTTTATATATATGAGTGTTTTGCCTGCATGTTAGTAAGTGTACCTGTGTCATGCAATATCCGCAGAGGCCAGAAGAGAGCATTGGATCCCTGGAACTGGTGTTACAGACAGTTGTTAGTTGCCATGTGGGTGCTGGGAACCAAATCCAGGATCTTTGCAAGAGTAGCCAGTGCTCTTAACCCCTGAGCCATCTTTCCAGGCCCCTGCATAACTTTTAAAAAGTATCTTACCAATATATATGTACACACATTTATAAGTGTATATGCATGCATATGTACACTTACTCATGTATGTACATTTTGAGACAGAACCCTATTATAGAGCCCAAGCTGTTTTTGAACTTGAAATCCTTTTGACTCCACTTCCTGAGTGTAAATTGAAATTTATAACTATATTTAATATTTAAATTTTAATGTAATTGCCTATTTCTGAAAATTTTATCTTAAGGAAAAAATCAATTCTATATATCAAAACATGATCGTAAGGATGTTTTCCCCTTATTTATTTAGTATTATTATAGTGTGTGTGTGTGTGTGTGTGTGTGTGTGTGTGTGTGTGTGTATTTGCACAACACACAAGAGGTGCAGAGGTCAGAGGACAATTTCTGGCAGTTATCTCCTTCTACCATGTGGATTCCAGGGATACAATTCAGGTTATCAGGCTTGCTGGCAAGCACTGTTACCACTGAGCTGTCTTGCCAGCCCTTGTTATATTATTTAAAAGAGCAGGTGCAGAGGTGAGAGGGCAATTTGTGGCAGTTGTTTATCTCCTTCTACCGTGTCGATTCCAGGGACCAAATTCAAGTTATCAGGCTTGCTGGCAAGCACTGTTACCCACTGACCTGTCTTACCAGTCCTTGCTACATTATTTAAAAGAGTAAAAAATAATTTATACTGACAGACCGGTAAAATAAATGTGGTGGTAAACACTGAAACACTCCTCCAAGATTTCCCCTTAATGAAGGACTCATTCCATGCACTGGAGGTGCTGTCAGCAGGGAGCCCTTGGGGGATGGCTTCAGTCCCTTTTTATCATACCCAGTGACTTATTTGGGACAATTGATGGTCATCTCAGTCCAATTTATGATAACTCTGAAGGGCCCTTCTAGTTCCAGAGATGTTAGTGGGGTTTGTTGAGGCAGCTTTGGAGCCTGTATCACAACTTGGATTCACCTGCTCCTGCTTCACCCACAACTTTCCACAGGTGTTGATGTCACAGATTCTCTGTCTCTCTGTCTCTGTCTCTCTCTGTCTCTGTCTCTCTCTCTCTCTCATTCACTGTATTGTGGACTCAAGTGATATTTCTGTTTCCCTAGTAGCTTGCAACTACAGGTGTATACCCCCATGTCCAGTTACAATCTATCTGGAATATGGATTCTGCCTTAAAACCTGTATGTTCCCCCAGAGAATTCAATATTCAATCTGTGACAAATATTTGTACCACAAAATGAACTATAATACAGGAAGTTAAATGATGTTCTTAAATGGTTATTTAAAAACTTGGGAAATACTTTGTGATATCTATGTATCTATCTATATATCTATCTATATATATAGAGAGAAAGAATATCTATAGTAGAAAATGTTGGAAAATGTCAAATTATGTATGATATTCTCTATTCTTGCTTTAGAAAACAGAAATTTCATAAATTTAGAAGGAAAAGACAGGACAAGGACATGACAAAATTGTTAATGGTTAGCTTAGAGTATTGTCCTCTGAAGTCCTTTGCTTTTCTACAGGGGACACATACTGCTTTTGAAATCAAGAAAGTACTCAACATTTAAAAGTCAACTAAATGTTTACATCCATCTCCTTGAATACGGCATGTCCTTACCTGTTTTAGCTCTCCAAAATGATACCATCAAACCTTATGTCTTGTTTATGACCTGGGTTTCAGGCTAAAACATCTTCCCTGAGTTTTAGATTAGTTCCTCCTATTTTATGTTTTTTTTTCTTTGATCAAAAATTGAAAATTTGTCTTTTGTGCTGGGTTGTGAGCTTGGTGAAGTCAAGGCTTTTGATTTTCTTTGATCTCTCTGTAGCATCAGTGCATAGCACAATTTCAGGTGCCTAGTAGGTTCTTAATAAACCCTGCAGTGGTAGAGCTTTTGTCATGTAGAATCCTTTCTGAAATCTTAACAGCTTGAAGGTGCTGGGCCTATGCAGTGGGTGGGTCTCTGAAGATGAGTTTTGTTTGCAGTCAAAGGGGCTCCTTGTACCCTAATTCCAGATGGCTTTGTAATTTCATGACTCCTAAGGGTCTGCCATAACGTGGTATGTGGACAAACAGCTGTCAACCACTGGCATGTTTGGAAGAAGCCTGATATTTAGTACTATGTAAATTCAGATTTTTTTTTTTAATAACCTGATTTAGAAACCATGCAGAAAGTATTAGAAAACAAGAAAGTTTCTACCAAAATCCTTCCAAAACATTGTTGTTTCCTCCTTTGGTGGGATATTAGAAAAGTGTGTGGAACAGGAGCATCTAATATAATCATCTTCTCATCTGGAGGTCGCCTCCCTACCCTCTCACCTGGGAGAGATTTTGCGTAGTAATTATAATTATAGGCGTGTATTTAGGCAGGCCTGAATTTAAATAGCAGGTCTACCACTTGGCAGCAGTAGGGCTTGTTTAACTTGTTTCAGTGCTTTAATCTCAATGCCTTGATTTGAAAATTGTAGATACACGTATATCCAGCACAGGGCAATGAAGATGAAATTGTATTTCTACAGTTTTATCACGATGATTACTGGGGAATAAATGTTAACTCTATGGTGGTCATGGACTAAAACCCAATTTAGAATATGAAAGTAAATAGAACAGCTCTTCTTCACACGCCTCCAGGGCTCACAGGGTCCTTCCTCTCATGGACATTTGACAGAGTGAGCATCGGTAAGCCTGCGTGCTACAGAAAGCCCTCAGAGTGAGAAGTTAGAGGTGATGCCTCTACGACATGGAAAAATCCCAAACAAAGCCAAAGAGAAAATGGAAATCATCAAAGGTCTAAGACTGGACCCAAATACCTCAATGATTTCCTTGCTCATTGGACAAATCTGAGAATTCAAGGAAAAGTTAAGTTATATTTGAAGCCCAAAGGTGAAGCCCTCTTACTTTCCTAAATTTGTTTGAGAAACTTCCAGGTGTACTGATATGCATTTTAGCCTCCTTTCTTGTTCAGGGTGTTATTTTTCACTATACTTTTCTAGAATAAACTATTATAACATATAGAAATAATACAAAATACAGCCACTACCCAGATACAAATGTGAACATGTAGCCCTTCACTTCCCCCAAACCTGAAAACACCAACTTACAATATTCATGAATGCTTCTGGATCCACAGCTTTGGTTGGCATATGTCCTGAGTTCACATTTCTTTGGAGCAAATAAGCCACCAGAATCAGAAGCCATATCTCCACTCTGTGTGAGACATTCCATGCTCTTGACAAGATTTCTGACATGGTCCAACATCTGCATTTGTCTTTTTTCTAACAATGTAACAGCTACATTTAGAGCCAGAAGAAGGGCCTATAGGTTTCAAAACTCTTCTATGTCTTTCCCAGCTGCAATTCCTCTCTCCAAATCCAAAGTAGATTAAGCAAGCTTAAGTATAGGAATGAAAGAACCTGAAGTAGGCAGCAAGCATTGCCTAGACTGTCACAATCACATCTGGCTCCTCCTGTTCCTCCCTCATATAACTCGTAAACACCAATCCTTCCACTTCTAGGTGTGTCCAACTTTCTTTGTTGCAACTGGGAATTTTGTGCATGTGATACAGCCCATAAAACACCTGTCTCTATCACCAGGAAAGGACCTTGGGGAGCACCTCCCTCTCTTTAGTTCTTATCTTGCTCTGATAGGTAGCTGGATATGGTATCTGTAGGACACTTCTCAAGTTTCTATGGTTGCAGTCTGTGACTTCAATGATCACTGTCCTTGGCTGAAAATCAAATGTAATGTTAATTACTTAATGTTAATTATTTAAACTATCAAAAATGTTAAGGACATTTTCTATTTTTAGTGATGTGTGAGAAGATTAATTGTGGGCTGGAGAGATGACTTAGCAGTTAAGGGCACTGGTTACTCTCGTAAGGACCTGGGTTTGATTCCCAGCACTCACATGGTGGCTAGAAACTATTTTTAACTCCAGTTCCAGGGGATCTGACATCCTCTTCTGACCTCCATGGGCATTGTATGACACAGGTACACTTACACATATGCTACATATGCTAGCAATACACTCATACACATAAAAATAAACATAATAAATAAAATTTTAAAAAAGAAAATGTTAATTGTAAGAAAACTATGCTTTGCCTAGTTCTGTCCGGTTCAATACAGAAACACATACCAAATATAATTTGGTTTGTAATCACTAGTTAATTGTTGACATATTGATAACTAGTAATTAAATTGCTTGTGGCAGCATGAGTAATGAGTGTCACCTTAGTTATTTATAAACTAAACGTCCCATTCAGTGGGACTGAACTGTGAAGCAATGTGAGTGGTTCCTTGACCTGCTATTAGCTGAGCATGACAGGAGGGAAGATTTATCAGTTTAAGAAAAGAGCGTGCTACAAATTAACAAAAAGTACTAAAACAAAACATGACTCTTGCATCAACTGCAGAGTTAAAAGCAGCCACACCTATCTGGGAATTGCAGTGGGTGAAAGAGCTGAAGCTTAGGCTGGAAAGATGAGTCTGTGAGAATGCGACTGCCCAGAGGTGACTCAGCCTTCACCATCCTGGCTGGCTGGGCAGGTGTGAAGGGGCAAGCCTGCGTCCTTATCTGGACCTGACTGAACGTCTGCCCATATTACTGCTGATTGCCGTGTGCTAGAGAGGCATGATTCGACCTAATTAGCGAAACCAAGAACAAAGGACTATCCCTACAGAGCCCCAATTTCTCTGAACTCACGGAGTTTGCTTAGAATTTTACATGAAGTCAGAACTCAGAAAAAAAAAATTATTTTTTTTAAGAAAAATTTTATGCGTATGAGTATTTTGCCTGCATGTATGCTGTGCAATGCCCCACAGAGGCCAGAAAAGGGTGTCGGATTCCCCTGGAACTGAAGTTAAGGTTGGCTGTTACCTGCCATGTGGGTGCTGGCAATTGAACCCAGGTCCTCTGAGAGAACCTCTGTGCCATCTCCCCAGCTCCAACATGGGATCCGACATCCTCACATGCACATACCCATACACAGACATACACACATACATATAATTAAAAATAAAAACATAATTTTTTTAAAGAACCAGATATTTTAATTCACTGTTTAGTGTTATGACCACATGAGATGTCATCTCAATGTGCCCTTCCCCATTCTAGGATGAAACCAGAACTACTATGGGAAAACGATTATGCCACCCTCTGAATTGTTTGTAATTGCTATGCCAGGAACTGAACCCAGGGCCTTGTGTATTCTAGGCATTGGAAGTTGTTTCTTCAAGTTCTCATGTAGATTTAAAATTTGGAGTAATTCTCAGTGAGTTTTCACATCCTTGACATACTCAAGCTACGCATGTTTGCTCTAATATGTTCAGGTAAGTCAATTCCTACATTTGATTAGTATGTTTCTGACTTCCATGGAGAACAGTGATGGCATTAAACTGATTAAATTGATAAAAACAAAAGTAAATAACCTCTGGTTTTCATAGTGAATCTATAAAATTTCCTGTAACTGCTCTCCTTTCTCTTTATGTTCCTGGCTAGAGTGCTCTCAGGTGAGCGTTCATTTGCTTTTTAATAAAGTGATTCTTTCAGATGGTATAAACACATCCTTGCAACCAGGTGGGGCTTAGCTAAGGACCCATTCTGAGAGACACAGCCTGTGTTTTTCTAGCCCTTGGATCAGAATCGCTTTATGATCAAATGACCAAAACGTTTATGTATTGAGTCCAACAACCCTCTCAGGAGATTCTGAGGCGTTCAGGAGAGTGGACACAGCTTAACTGTCTTCTCTTTAGTCAAAAGTGCCTACACAGGCGTGGTTCTGACTTAGCTTCCATTCCTTGTCTTAGCTCAATCAGCATCTCATGTGTGGTTCTTTATAGAATTCATTCCAGTGATGAAGTATTAGAAATCATTCCACATTCAAGGAAGGGGACAACTTTATCTCTGACTCCTAGCATTGGTCTAGAGTTACTCCAGCACCCAGCATCTTAGTTTGTAGTTCTTCCTTCTCAAAGTCTAGCTACTTTAAATACTATTCAGTGTATGTAGTAACTAAGGTAAGTCATGAAGTGATACAAGAAATGCCATTGTGTGCTACATATATGGCTTTGGGACATGTTGTCACGGTCTGTGAGCCTCAGTGCCTTCTTTGCAAGATGCTTGCAGTGATGGAACCTTCTCCCAGGGCTGCTGTGAGGGTTACGTCAGACAGAAGTGCAGTGGCTGGTATGAGCACTCAGAGAATGAGCACTCAGCAGTTTTGGCTGTACGCAGGGTAAGAGGCTCATGCCGCCTGGCAATTAATTGCTCTCCCACTTAGGTGTTCTCCAGTGTTTATAATATAAAACAGAATTTCTACATCAACTTGTAATGCTAGGAAATATCTAGAGAAGAGAGCAGTAATCACATGTTTCTCATACACTGACTGAATTATGAACCCTGGCTCCCTCCTTTCCTAGTCCAGTGATCTTGGTCAGACCATTCAACATTTCTGAGCCTCAGTCTAACATGAAAAACATGCTCGGAGAAGTGAGGTTTTTAAACAACATGGAACTGAGCACCTAGCAGGAATGAGAGCACCATAATGATTCTTTCTTTTTTCCCTTTTCATTGCTTTAGTTTTTCTGTTTTAGCTTTTGTAGTTGAGGCAGGGTCTCTTGTAGCCCAGATTGCCCCTCAACTTCTGATCTTCCTGCCTCAGCCTCCCCAGTGCTGGGATGGGAGGAGTGTACCATGCCTGGCTCCTCTTCTCCTTCTTAAAAGAAACTATGGTATGGACATAAATTTGGTGAATCATCTTTTCAAATTTATTTCTAAACTAGACTTAATTGACAGTATTTTAGAGTTAAAGGCACAGATTTCAGAAATCATTTTGTTCAACCTCATTCATTTCTCTATTTTAAAATATATAATATGAAATTATATAATTTAGCAAAAATTATAGAATACATATCTGTGGTAAAACTACCATGATGTGCATAGATTGAAATGTATATTCTAATTTTTCTGAACTTATTTCCCATTAATAGTTTAATGCATATCCTTCAAGATATTTTATGTGCTCACATATACACATAATTATTAGAACTCAGGCAAATATACAGTTACATATCACTCTAATTTTTGTAGTACAATCTTCCTTTCTATTTCAAAGTTCTAAATAAATCACATTTTCTGTTTTTAAAAATATTTTATTTATTATTTTTATGTGTATGAATGTATTGCCTACATGTATGTAAGTGCACCTGTGTCATGCAGTGCCTTCTGAAATCAGAAGAGGGCTTTGGATCCCTTGGAACTGGAGTTATGGACAGTTGCTAGCCACCATGTGGGTGCTGGGAATTGAACCTGGGTCCTCTGCAAGAGCAGCCAGTGCTCTTAACTGCTGAACCATTTCTCCATCCCCTCTCATTTTCTTTAATCACTGAAGAAATCCACCTGATTTCAAGATATTGAGGTACAATGATGTACAGCCTTTAGTCTGCTTGCAGTGCTCGGCTGTTGGAAATTATATCACAGAAACCATCCTTGTGTACAAATACCAGGTGTACATATGAGAGTAGTGTTATAGGATAAATTTATAGAGACAGAACATAGTCCACATTTTGAAAAGGACTATTAGACTGTCTCTTAAAAGACTGAACCAGCACAATGGAAACATGAATGCTGCCCCATCCTTCAGTAGTTCTACATTTCAAAAATCCTTTTTTATTTTTATTTTTTGTCTTTTTGAGACAGGGTCTCCCTGTAGTCCCAGCTGACCTGGAACTTACTACCAGTCTTAGGGGCCAAGGTAATTTATCATGATTTTACTTTCATTTTCATGAGTTATAGCGAATGAGACTATGAATTTTTAATACATGTTAACTGCTTAGTTTTCCTTTGTGGATTGCCTTTTGACTCATTAGCCTGTTTGGCACATGGTTAACATGAAAAAATTGATCTACTTGGGTCTTTTCTTTAACATGGGTATTGATCTTCAGTTTGCTACGTGTTAATATATCTGCTTTCACTTTTAAAATTTGATTTGTAAAGTCTAGTTATTTCATTATAATTGTTTCATATAGATATTATGGAAATAAATATTTTGAGGTTTTTGCCTTTTAACTTCTGTTTTACTCACATAGAACTCCATCCCACAGTTAAATTACATTCTTTATACCCTTTTCAATATTTTCATAGTTTTTTTCCCCCACTGGACGCTACACCAATTGAAACATTTTGGTATAGGATGGTAATGAATCTATTTTATTTTTCTAATTAGTTATCAATTTTACCAAAACCACATTATAACTCTTCTTTGATTTCGTTGGGACTAAAGTCACCTTTACTCACACATCTGCCGCTCTAGAGAGATCCTGTGGTTTTCCCAGAGCAATTGATCTTAATAAGAGTGGTTTCACCTTTGGCGGAATCTTTGGCAAGGTCTGGAGTGGACTATCGTTGTTAGGAGAGTACTGC